AGCTCTGGTAGTGTAGTGGTTATGAATTGGGCTGCGAACCCCAAGGTCAGCAGTTCAAAACTACCAGCTGTTCCAGAGAGAAAGGATGAGGCTTTCTGATCCCATAAAGATTTACAGCCTCGGAAACCTTGTACAGGGTCGCTATGAGTCGGAACCGACTCCACGGCACATAACAACAATAACAACATATATATATAGCACTGGTTTTACTTCTCTAGAGAACCCAGACTAAGACAGACGGTAATAAGGCAGAACTTAACATTTTTTGAAGTATTAGTTATATTTTCTTTCATATTATATACTTTGATGAAAAGGATCATTTATTGGGCACTAATGAAAGGATTCCTGATGTGGTGCTATGGGTTAATGGGCCAGATTGCAAAGCTGTTTGAACTGCAAGGTTGGTGGTTCAAGTTTACCAGCTGCTTCTTGGAAACCCTATACAGGGTTACTATGGGTTGGAAACGACTTGATGGCACTTAACAACAACAATGAAATCTTAAAATACTTACTGAAGAAGATCAAAGACCAAGCATTCATTATGGGTTGCACCTCAATGTAAAGAAAACAAAACTCCTTACCAATGGACCAATACATAACATCATGATAAATAAAGAAAAGACTGAAGTTGTCAAAAATTTCATTTTGCTTGGATCCACTACCAACACTCATGGAAGCAAAAGTCAAGAAATAAATGATGTATTGTATTAGGCAAATCTGCTGCACAAGACTTATTTAAATTTTAGTGTTCAAGAGCAAAGATATCAGTTTGAGGACTAATGGGCACCTGATTCAAATCACAGTATTTTCAGTAGCCTTATAAAGATGTGAACGTTGGACAATAAATAAGGAAGACTGTAGAATAATTGATGCATTTGAGTTATGGTTTTGGAGACGAATATTAAAGGTACCATCGACTGCCAGAAGTACACTAGAATGCTCTTTAGAAACAAAGATGGTCAGAATTCATTTCTCAAACTTTGGACATATTATCAGGAAGGACCAGTCCTTGGAGAAGGACATTATATTTGGTAAAGTGGAGGGTCAGCGAAAAAGAGGGAGACCCCAACGAGATGGACTGGCACAATGGCAGCAGCAGTGGGCTCTGGCATAGCAGCAATTGTGAGGATGGTGCAATACGTGGTGGTATTTTGTTCTGTTGTACACAAGGTCACTAAGAATTGGAATGGACTAGACTGCATCTAACAACAACAAATGATATCTATCTTAAGAATCCTTCTTTATCTACTAAAGCATGCCTCTAGGGTATCTGCACTGTTACTTCATCCCTCTTTATTTAATAAACTGACAGATAGGCACTTATTATTTGGTTACATTGAGCTTTTAGATTTGATCATATTTGGAAAAGCAGGAAGCTAAGATAAATTAGAAGTGAGTATCAATATGATGTTTGGTTTTATTTCTTAGAAATGTGATGTTTCTGCAATATGAACACTGTAGTACATAACTACAATCTAGTTTTGGAAAATGCTTTTCCTTTTAAAAGATCATTTAGTTGATTTTGCCTTTCATTTTTTCCCTATTTACTTCTTTTCATGATGGTCTTATTCTTTGATACCAAGAAAGCAGTGTGATAGACCAAAATGTCATTAAATGAAACAAAGCTACTTGATATAAAATCCAAAATTTTTGTTCAGTCTGCCTAAAAATCTGAGAGAAATCAATAGTTGCATTTATTAATAATTGTCAGCATTAAAAACAGCTCACAGCATTTTTGGGGACCTGTTTGCAGTTCAAACCCACCAGATGCTTCTTGGAAACCCTGTATAGGGTCTTGCTATGAGTCGGGATTGACTCGACGGCACTTAACAACAACAACAACAACAAAAATGCAGACACTTGAGGTGCTTAATAAAATACTTTTGAACACAGTGTCCTAATACATATGACCCCATATAGGGTTTCCAAGGCTGTAAATCTATAGGAGCAGAAAGACTCATCTTTCTATGGTGTAGTTGCTGGTGGGTTTGAGCTGCTGGCCCTCTGGTTAACAGTTCAGTGCTTATCCTACAGAACCACCAGGGCTCCTTATATATGTACACAAGCAATCCTAAAACAGTAGTCAAGAGTCTACCATTTGACTCAATATTGTGATCTTAAAGGGGAATGTTTCAAACCATTTTTTATAACATTTCAGGAACCAAGGTTTCATGCACTGATTCCAGTACCAAAATTAAGGCCCAGTAGTCATTAGCACAATGGCTCTGTAGGGTAAGCAGTGGACTGCCAGCCATAAGGTCAGAGGTTTGAGTCCATCAGCCATTCTGTGGGAGAAAGATGAAGCTTTCTGCTTCTGAAAAGATTTACAGTTTCAGAAGTCCTATACAGGGTTTCTATGGGTTGGAACCAACTCGATGGCACTTACCAACAATAGCTGCTAATGGGTCAAATAAACAGAGGCAAAAATCTTTTAAAGTGATGACAGAGGGATAATAGTGTCTCTTTTAAGACCAAAGACTCAAATTGTACATCCACTATATTGTACATTTATTAGTTTTGTCCAAGCTTGAGAATCTTTATTTGAGACAGCACAGAAATGTCAACAAACTTTAGGTATATTAGTATGACTTGCATTCCAAATCTTAAGTTCTAAAGACGAAACAATCTTGTATTGTAAATTTTCTGGGGTACCTGAGTTTCCAGGAGGATCCATTAGATAACTATCAGTTAAAAATGTAGCATTTAGCAGTCTTCTTTACTCCCAAACCACCATTCTAAGAAACTTCTCATACCATTAGTTTTCTTTCCTTACTAACTGTTAAGCAAACTATTTCTCATTAAAGTTTTGCTTCTTTGGGAAAACCCAATTCCAAAAATCCACATTTGTTAGACAAAAATTAAGATTTTCACAAAAGAAGTTGTCAAACTTTTCAGTGTTTTAAACATGATTTAGTTTTTTTACAAAAATATTTCCATACAATTTTCCTAAAATTCATCAACTGTATAAAATGCATATGGTGTACCTAAATGTATTGCAATAAAAAGAATGACAATGAAAAGTCATGGGCAAATAGCTCAATAAATATATCATAACCAAAACAGAGCTTACCTAAAAGAGTAAAGCGAATCAAATACATTTTTTAAAAGTTGAATTTTTATTCGCCACATCTCATGAGGAATCTAAAATACTAAAAAAAAATTTGTGCTGAAAAGAAATGTACTTGGACTTTATAAATTTAGATTCTGGCCAACAGAGGAAAGAGACTTTAGAAACTCTCATGCAATACATTTCATTCTATATATGAAAACTCTGAACTCAGGGAGGTAAAAAGACTTGCTCATGGTCACAATGTGTAGTGCTGTTGGATAAGCACTGGACAGCAAGGTTGGTTTGAACTGTAAGGTTGGCGGTTTAAACTCAAGCAGCCGCTCCTCAGAAACACTACACATGGTTTAATCTCAACCAGTCGGAGCATCAGAAACGCTGAGTCAAAACCGTCTTGATAGCATTTAGCAACAATAACATGGTCACAACACTAATTAGTTATTGAACCTGGCCTCTTTCTCCCAATTTCATGATTCTTTTACCAAATATTACTATTAATCTTGAGAAAAAATTGAATATTTTTCCAAGATAAATACTTTATACAATATATTATATAAAACATTTCACATTATTGCAAATGAATCAATAAATTAATGTTCTGTACCAAAATGGCAATAACAATCCTTTTTTCACATATATTTGATCAAGTATTTTTTCAAAAAGTCTCACATAGATTTAGTGTATCAAATTCAAACAGCACTTCATCTTAATATTTAACAATATTATATCTAATATTGAACAGTGAAGATGAGCTGGGTATCAATTTCTGCAACTATAACACTGTTTGACACTCCATGCTCAGTGCTGCTCTTCATCAAGAAAGCAGTTATAAGGTTAATCCAAAGAACAACTTAAAAGCTAATTCAATGGCAATTTCTGTGACTGAATCATGAAAACAGACATATAGTTCTTGAGGTTTAGGATGAAGAAAGAGTCTCCTGTAGAGGAAAAGAAAAAACTTATTTCAGAAACAAAATAGCAAGAACAACAATAACAAAACCCTTTAATTTAGCTTCTGAAAGAGTCAGTAATAAATTTAAAAACCACTAAATGCAGTGCTGTAAGATAAGCAATGGACTGTAAAATGCAAAACTGGCAGTTTAAACTCACCCAACTGCTCCTTAGAAACGCTCTATAGGGTCGCTTTGAGTCAGAGTCCTGGTATGGCACTGTGGGTTAATGCGCTGGACTGCAAAGTCATTTGAATAGCAAGGTGGGTGGTTCAAGCTTACCAGCTGCTTCTTGGAAACCCTATACAGGGTTGCTATGGCTCAGAACTGACGTGATGGCACTTCACAACAACGAATCAGAATTGACTTGATGGCACTTAAAACAACATTTATCTATAAAATATTTATATAATATAAACATAGGTACGCTTGCATATATATAAATATAGAGATATTTGAGCATATGTCATATTTATCTGCTAGACATAAGAATTTTGGAGGCAATGATCATGTCTTTATCTTTGTGTTGGTCACACCAACTACCCACTACTATATTTTGCCAAACACAACTCCATTCACTAAGTTGTTACATATTTATCAAGAGATCAGTATGTTCTAGGTGCTGTTGCAGATACAGATATGATTCCTGACCTAATGAAGCTGACATCTAGTGAAGGAGGAAAGCCAATAAATAAGAAGGATGGTATGATGAATACCCAGGTAGTTACTTTAAAAAGGGAAACAGTATGAATCTATAGTCTGAATACCCAGGAGCCAGACATGCGTAGGTTAATGGGGAAACCATCCACACAGAAGGAAGAGCAGAAACAATTCCATTTATGCCAATGTAGCTTGTACCCAGTTAAAAGAGAGAGTGATAGGAGACAGAACAGAGAGCTGAACAGGGCCAGATAAGGCAGGGCCTTACAGTTTTGGGGAAGGAGATAAAACTGAAGGGGAGAATAGAGAAGACAGGATGGAAAGAGTAAAAGAAAGGAGGAGAAAAGGAAGAAAGAACATAAGTAAGACAGGAAGGAAATGAGTAAAATTGTAAGAACCTTCTAATGTTTGCCAGTATAAGGATGTAATGTAACTGAACGACATTCTTTTTGCTTAGGAAATAATTGTAATATCATTTGGTTGCCATTATAAAATATTAAAACACTATTCAAAATTAAAGATGTTGTTGTTGTAGCTAAATGCTGTTGAGTAGGTTCTGACTGATAGCGACCTTCTGTAGGGTTTCTGATGAGCTACTGGTCAGCTTGAACAGCCAATCTTGCAGTTCAAACTGCACAGTCTAGCGCATTAACCCACAGTTCCACAACAGGACTCCAGAGTTAAAGACAGTGGATCTGTCTATTCTAGAGATTTATATGTTAAACTAGATAGCAACAAGCAAGGAAACAAACTCCTTTAAAGTTGCTAGTTGAGATGACAAATGTCTTGACCCAAAATATGTTGCCATATTCCCTAGTCTTGGATTTTTAGAGCTCAATATCAAACTTATATTACCCTTGGGTGCGATTATACTGGGGAGGGTACTGAATGACGTTTTGTTTATAAAGTAGAAATATACTTGAGAGGGACTTAATGAAGATATTTAGCAAATAAAATTAAATTCTTAATGTTATTAAAATATTACAGTTAGGTTAATAATTTAATGCCTATATTTGAAAATAAGGAGCTCTGGTAGTGTAGTGGTTACGAATTGGACTGTGAACCTTAAGGTCAGCAGTTCGAAACTACCAGCCGCTCCAAGGGAGAAAGATGATGCTTTCTGCTCCCATAAAGAGTTACAGCCTCGGAAACCCTGTACAGGGTCGCTATGGGTTGGAACCGACTCGACTGGCACTTAACAACAACAGCAACATGTTTGAAAATATCTATTTCCTTCATGCTTTCTAACATTAACTTTGCTTTTAAAAATATTTTTTTATCCACTTACCCTACTACCCAGTAAGCCATAACTGGTGGAACTTTTTTCTGATCGGTCCAGTTTTCAGGTGAGCATTCAAACAACACACCATGCTCTTTCACAGGGTTAAGAGAAGACACTGAATTTATAGAATCTGAGCGATCTGCGCCATTTAGTACTTTCTTGTTCTGTAAATTAATAGTATTATTAGCATTAAGAGATGTTAACATTATTATATCCAAATATTTTTACATACATAAGGGACAAACAAAACAATGCTTCAAATAGTTTGTGGGAAAGTTCCATTTTTTTTTAATATTCTTTATTTTTTATATTTTTAGATAAAAAACAATTTTTTGCAGTATTTTTTAGATAAAAATTAATGCAAACACACCCATGACCAAAATATCACACTTTGATCAAAGACATGTGATTTTCCCTACGCATATATGACTTACAACTCCCTAATCTTGGTCCCAGTTAGATTGAAACTTTATTTTCAAAAACACCAAGTGACTGGCCCAAGGGTTTAAGTTTGCCCACTTAATTTTTTAA